TTTATATAATTAAAGAGAAGAACAAAAAATTTTTTTCTCATTTTTCAATAAAACTCTTTCTCATTTTGCTCTTTTTGTTTTCATTTTTAATTTCGAGAATTTATTTCTCATCGATATTAAATTTATAAAATTATAATTGAATTTTTAAAATTTATTGAGAATCGAAATACTCGTGGATAAAAATGAATACCTGCTGCAATTTTTTTTTTTGTTTCTTATTATTATTTTTTTCTTTTGTTTATGAAAAATTCAAATTTAATTCATTTTGTTTTCGCGATTTTTTATTCCATTTTGTGTTTGTGTTTTTTTCTTTATTGTATCAAAAATTCGATGTTTTGCTGAAAGGCATAAATCATTATTTTCAATTTAAATCCATCCTTACTTATGTTTTATTTTTTGGTGTTGTTGTTATTGTATAGAATTTATTGCATTCAATAATATAGCAAGTACACAGCTAACTTACTATATTGGTATTTTTGTATTTGTGTATGTTTTTTGAATGGATGTAATGAGATTCACTACAAGTATACAAGATTGTTGTATTCAGGAATTTCGAATATTGTTTTAATTTTTTTTTATTTTTTTGATTCGATACTGTCTGCAGAGGATTTCCCTGATTTTTCCAAATTCCTTTTTTTATTTACATTTTTTTTTCAATGTATATTAATTTTATTTTATTAAAACTGATGTTTGTATTCAGTGTTCAATATCTGATGTATATTATATGAAAAGCTTTAAAAATGCAATCAAATGTTTTGCCCGAAGAAAAAAACAAAATGTTCCAAAATATTGTATAAAATGTTCAGTAAGGAATTTATAAATTTTCTGGTTAAAATATTTTATATTTTAATTTTTTAATAAAATCATAACGAAAAATTCATTTTTTTCTTTTGGTTCTGATATTTTACCATCCATTAAATGGAAAATTCGTGTATTAATAAAAGAGAAAAAAAATTGGAATATCTACATCGTACACAACTCTTACAAAACTGCCTATTATTTAAAATTTAAATTTTGAAGCAAATTGTTTTATTCATTCGGATTTTTACTTTGTACATTAGTTTACAACTTTAAAATAAAGCATATACGTATATGCATATAAATTTTTAGAGTATATTTTCCGAATTACGAAGTCCGCAATACCGAAATGCATACTATATAATCAGAAAATTATAAAGGATATTTAAGTATGTAAATATACACATGGGTAGGTTCTTATTCTTAAAAATGTGGGGTTTTGAATTTCAATTTTATGAAAAACACACATTCAAAGAGAGCTTCTGAGACGTTATTGCTTAAATTCCGTAATATTTAATATCTATAGTCTTTAATTTCTATTAAAATTATAACAATGTTTTAGTAGCTTAACACTTAATTAAAACAATTTTATGATTTAAAATATCCGAAACTTTATAGTTTATTAAATTCATATTATTTATGTATATATAAACTTCTACTGTTATATTTTATTACAGTATAGCATCTATATAAGAAACACGCAAAATTCTGTAAGTTTTGTCTAAAAACCCTGCAACACAAAACAATAAATGCCATATACTGCAAAACAAAATATTCGTTAAATAAAAATTGCCGTAAAGAAAATCAACCCTTCATAAATCACAATTAAAATTCTGAAATTCAATTGGGAGCAATGAAAAATCTTATTAACACTAATGATAAAAATACTCATTAAGAAGAGACATGAAAAATTTTCTGATAATCATCAAGAAATCTCGCATGACTTGTTAATGAAAATTTTTCAATTTCCAGCAAAAACACTGCACCTACAAACAAATTAAATATTTTAAATAAAATAAATGCGCATTTTAATAAAAATCATTTCAATATTTTTTTTCCCTTACAAATTTATTTTTAACGTGAGAATTTCATATTTTATGATAGTAATGAATCATGGCCTTACTAACAAATTACTACAAAACTTCTACTAATTTTATTATAAATAAAAAAAACCTGTGTGTATTTTCTTTTTGATTTAATAATTCTAAATGTCTACTTCATTTAATATTTTCAAATCATTTTGTATTTACAAGTAAAATGACCTAAAAAATGAAAAAAAAAAAATGAAAATTGTTGCACCCCTAGAGGTTAAAACAAATTAAATATCCATCATATAGCATTTCTGTTGTTTTCATTTTACTCGAGAATATTAAAACAACCAAAGCAAAAAAATCTCTGTGAATAACAGTTTAAAAAAACATTTTTTAAATTTTTCGAATCAGTTCGAGAGGTTTTTCGCTTATTTCATCTTTAATATTTGCACTTTTTTACCTCGTATATGTATGTATGTATTTAAAATATCAAATCATCATTTAGTAATTCTTACACGGTATAAAACTAAAATTAAAATTCTTTAAACTTTCAATATAAATGTTAGTAAATTATACGTGAATATGTGCTTGTAAGTAAATGGTACAAAAAAACTATAAAAGATTTTGTCTTCAAATGAGAAAATTCACTTTCTAAGATTTCTCATTATCATCTTTATTTCATTTCCTATATCTACACCTGGATATATTTATATAAAATTACATTTGAGGATTGTAACAGAGTGATAAATTTAGCTAAATCATTAATTCAATTAAACAAAAACAACAAAAGGTAAAATTGGATTGCTACAAATTTTTTTTCTTTCTCTGTTTGCCTTCCCTATTTTCTGAAGATGATTTTCCCACCATATATTATAGTAAACAGTTTCCGTATAATATTCGATGCAATGATTTGAGTTGTTGTAATAATAATGTAGGTCATTGTGCCATACCTTATATATTTTTTTTTTCATAGTTTCATTATTATTTTTGTTTTAGTCATACACACTACCGTTATTAGAATATTATTAAGAAAGATCCAAGAATTTTATGCACGCTTGTATTCGAATAGCATCTTATAGAAACCGAATTCTGTAAAATCTCATCACAGTCAGTAGGTATATGTAATATGTTTTGTTTTTTTTTTGTTTTTCATCATTTCCACAAATAGGAAAATTCCATTTCTAGAAAATTATTTAAAAATTCCAATTCTGTAGAACTTATCATCACCGAAAACTCATTCAGATTTTACTAAATGATATTTAAAAACTTCTCAGTTTAATATTATTTTTTTTTTTGCTGTTCATTTAATTCTTCGCTTATGGTCAAACATTTAGAAATGCTTACAAACGTTTATATGGCAATTATTTTCATATTTTCCTATAAGTAAAAACGCAATATTTTGAAGTCAGATAAGTACAAATTGTATATTTCAAATGGGGGAGATAAAATTATTGAAAGAAAAATTTATGTACGTTTCTTATACCTCAAAGGTAATAATTTGAGCCTAAAAATACGAAATGAATACCTTCTATCTTATATCAAAAATTTTTCTTAAGGCCTTTTCAAAATCTACAATAATATACTCATTCCTCCCAAATGAATATTTCCATATACAAAAATATATATGTATGTACATAAGTATTTATAACCATATATATAATAATATTGGTGTTTCGTTAACTAATTCGCTTTAATTGCCGATCGGGTCTTAAATATCATTTTAATAATAACTTCTTGATTGGAGTTTTAAAGATGAAAACGTCTGATTCATTCCAATTTTTAAAAAAAATCTTAAATGGAAAATAATAATATAAAAAATAAAAAAAAAACAAAACAGAAAAGAAAAAAACAACATAAATGCTATTTATTGTATACAACAGTGATACCTAAATTGCCTCCTCATTCAACTATTTCTGAGTCACTCGCATATTTTACCAGCAAGACAATAATGTTACAAAGAAAATGTTTTCTTTCAGTGTTTCTGCAGTAATGTCTGTTTTGTTGTTGTTGTTTTTGTTATCAAAATCTTGTAAGTGTTTTTTTTTTCATTTCGTATATTTTGATTGCGTGTTAAAGTCAACTGTGTGATGATGCAGTTTATAAAAATAAATTCATTTCCATGCAGCACATACAATTATACACACACATTTATACACATACCTATAAATAAATATATCAGTCTGTCTCATTCATCCTTTGATATCATTTTTTCTTTCTTTTCACTTAAATGTTTTTCTTATTTTTATTTTTGTCTTTTCGTTTTGTTTCTATTTTGTAATTTTAATTTTATAAATCGACTTTTTTGTTTATGGCAAAATAATTATGAAAATGTGATGAAAATTGTGCATTTCACGAAAGTCATTTTTCTTTATTCAATTATTATCTCTGGTAAACAGTACATATTATATTATACATACATATATTTTTTTTAATTGTTATATGGAGTAAAATGATGATTTTTAAAGACTGCGTGAGTGATATTTCAACCAGCGCAACAAAGGTAGCAAACAAAAAGCAACATCGATCGCGCTACTAAACAACAAAACAGTAAAAATATTTTTTATGCATTTCAATATTGTGCATGTGTGTATAGTACAGAGTACTTTTTAAGAAAGCAAAATGAAGAGAACAAGAAAAAAAATTACCCATAATAATAATTTATCGAAAATGGTAAAATTAAAAACAGAAAGAGAAGACGGGATGACGGAAGAGAGTATAAAGATATCAAAAAAATAAAAAAATATTCAAGATATTAAAAGAAATTTACAGGTGATTTGTAATTAAAAGAGAATATGAATAAATTGAGATTATTGTTTAACATGAAATGAATATTAACAGTAGAAAATTTTTATATTATTATTGAAATTGATCTTGACATTGAATAACTTTTGCAATTCATAAATGAAATATGTAATGTACATACATACATACATATGTATGTATGTATGCAATGTGGAATCATTAATATTTTAAATAGGTACAAAAAAAATTTCAATTTCTATAGTAACTTGTTTCGCTTTTCTTTCTTACGTTCTTTTTAAAATTAATAAAACATGACATATAAATTTCGTTATCTCTGATTAATAATTATTATACATACATCCAGATATATGTACGTATACATTCAGTTTTTTTGTTTAAATTTTATTAAAATATCAAAAAGAAACTTACCGATTTACTGAACATTGCTATATCTTCATTAAATGATTCTGACGAACATACATCACCATTCATTGAAGGATCACGAGGCGTACATGTAGCTAATTCACATTTTTCAAATATAAGTGCCAATAATGGAAAAAGTGGATGCCTGAAAAATTATAATAATAATGAAAAAAATTGTTTAATTTTAATAAAAATTTGTTGATAAATATTTAAGTTTTTTTTATTAAAAAGAGTGTAAAAATTAATTGAATCATGAAAATTTGTTTAATATTTAATTGTTTTATAATTTTAATTTTACAGTAGAATATTTTTAATTCGACCACTAATTTGATTGAAGAGAATTGAATGTTATGAATAAAATTTTATTTATATTAATTATAACCTTCTTGCAGTAGTATTGAACTAAAAATTTTAAACTAACACATATGAAGTTTAGAAGTTAAAATTAAATTTACGGCGAATACAATTTTAATTCAAACCAAGTATAATGCAAATTTATTTAATAATAGAATTAAGTAAAATTGCAATAAAAGAATATAAGAAAAATTCATTTAAATTTCAAGAAAAAAAAAAAGGGAGTGTCAACTCATAAAATTTATAAGTTAGCATTTTTTCAGTATAAAATAATTAATGATTAAATTTGGTTGTATAGATTAAGTTTTAGAATACCATATTTAATGTTTTTATAACAAAGTTAATTATTAAAAACGAAAAAAAAATCTCTAAAGCAGAATATTTTTGAGCAGGATCGCCATCAAATATGTAGGTACTGTTTAGAGCTCAAACAGATATGCAATTATTAGATTTGCAACTGTTTGATTGCTTGTTTGTATTCCATAAGGTTTATATTCAAATACGCTCAAATGCAAGTATATGATCGCATGCTATTAAGCAATTAAACAGTTTTTAATTGCAAAACTCAAAATTGTATGTCTTCATGAGCCCTTATGGATTTTGCTCAATTTGAATAAAATTTTCTGAAAGTTTGATATTAAATCAAACATTAATCATGTATTTGGTTTGAAGGCTAAAACAGAACATCATTCTTTTACCATCAAACATAATACATGAACAATGTTTGAATTCTAAATTTCTACTTAAATTCGTAATTTGAACTAAATGTTATGATTGCACGTACAAATCAAAATAAATTAAAAGGGGAAAAAGAGATGGTTTGGTAGCCCTAATATTACATAATCAATTTAAGGAATTCGAATACTTTCAATATTTTGATGATGTTTTAACTTTGGAAAAAAAAAACTTATTGATAAATTTTTCTATTCTCGTAATTTTTTTTTTCAATTTTTTTTATTTCTCTACTCTTTTTACTATTTTAGTTATTTTACTATATTTATACGTACATATTTACTTATGCATGTATATACAATATTGCTATTGTGTGGTACTATGAAATTTTTTTAAAAACCGGTTTGAGCACATCATAATATATTTGTCGCGTTTTTATGTTTTTTTTTTTTTCTCTCATATGATTTCGCAATTTTTTACTTTTTAAACTAGTATGATATGACTGGCGACTTTGCGTAGAAAAATTTTAAAATACACTCTTATGTAAAACAAAAAAAAAAAAAAATTTTTTTGTTTCTTTTGAACTAAACATACCAGTAGATTATTGAAAAAATAAAAAAAAAACGATTTCTTTCAATAGTTAATTTAAAAATTCCTAATACACACATCTGTTGTAAGCGTAATATGCAAATACCTGCACATTATAATGGTTAAGCATGTATAAACGTAAGGTCTATATATATATATAAAATGTTTTAAATTGAAATTTTGTATTATTCTAGTTAATTTTCTATTCCAAAAATATTGGGTATGATTGGATATAATGGTTATGTTATGACATAAAAAAAAATTTTCATTTTTCCAATTTTTGTTTTTTTTTTTATGAGAATTTAAAGAAGAAGCGTGTAATTTTGTTGCATATTAATTTCATATTAAAATGTATATATGTACATACATGCACAGGTATATGTAAGGTAGTTATATAAGGCCGGTAAATTTTAACCTTAAGAGCACATTATAATGGTCTTATATAGAAAAATTGAAAAAAAAAATTAATTTATTATTATAGATTGATTGAAAATTTCTGTAGTGACATTTTCTTCTTTCATATAGAATTCAATTAGACACTGGCTTTCTTCTTTCATATAGAATTCAATTAGACAACTTTGGAATCGAGAAATTCTTTGAAAAGAGAATGAAGGATAACTAAGCATAAATCAAAACACAACACAATTTTTTCTTCCTTTATCTTCCTTTATCTCCTCATCCTTTAAAACCAGAAAAATGTTCGATCAAACATGTATGAAAAGAATTTATAATATACTTACGTTTCAAACGTGTTCGAACATAATAATTTTGTATGAAACAAGGAAAAAAAACATTATAGTGAAAAAATATCACTTAGTTTTCAAGAGCAAAAAATATTGTCCAATTTATGTTTCATTTTTCCTACCCACATTTAAGCTGCAATGTTATTATTAAGAGAAATTCAGCCACTTTGTTTTTAGAGAGTGAAAAATACAATCGCTCTTTTTTGTAATTTCTTAGATCTAAATGTTTTACTCTTAAGAAAAGAAAAAATTTAATTGATAATATTCAAAAACTAATTGGGAAATTTGCATTTCTTACATTTCTTGCCACCACATTCACATATTTCTTTCAACTCTCAATCTGAACTCTCAGTCGAACATGTTCAATTGAATTTTAGAAGAATTTTACACATAACCATCAATATTTTAATTTAATTCTTGTTTCAAATACTATATAATATTAAAATATATGCATGTATGTATATGTATACAAAAAATATTTTATGCTAAATACGTTAGCATGTTGTTTTACTTCTTCGTTTATTTTTTTCAATATTAATATTAGTTTTTTCTATATTTTGCCGTCGTCTATCTTGTATAGGCACATTTTAAACTTGTATAATATGTACAATGTACCTGTAGTCAAATGTTTTGTTTAAAATTTTTTTTTTTTTGTAATCATTTCAACTTAAATTATTCAAATCTATTCAAATTTTATTCATTTTAATGACATCTTTTTTCTATCTCCGTATAAATTTTTTGTTTTTTTTTCTATATTATTATAGTTATGCATACAAAAACAAAAAAAAAATTAATATACATACATTTTTTAACAAAATATAATAATAGAAGTTTTAATTTAGAAAAAAAAAAATTAAAAAAAAAAAATGATATTTAAACAAAAATTAAATCAGCGTTTTTTTTTTGTTTTTATTTTTATAATTTCTAAAATGATTTATATTGTAAAAATACAAGAGAGTTTTTCTAAATTAGTACCTTTTGTCTTTTAAATTATGGTTGATTATTTTAGATAGTCTTGTTTTTCATTTTGTTTCTTTGTATATTTTTTGTTAATAATTTTCGGAGCAAAAGTTGAAAATATTTTCTATAAAATATATTTAAAAAACAAAAAATAGGAGGACAAACATAATATTAAAATTAAAAACAAAAAGAATAAATAAAAAATACCCACAAAACACAGTGGAATTATAATAATTATATAAAATGACAGAAAAATTCATTTTAAAAATAATTTAAATCTAATTTGTCAAAGATCATGGATTAAGATTACGTATTAAATTTATTCCAATTTTCAAACCTACTTAATTATTAAAATTTATATTTATTTTTGGTTAATTTAATGAATTTTTCATATTTTTTTTTCTCTGTGTGTATTTAATTTTTTTTTTGTTATTGTGTATGTATTAATAATTAAAGAGCTTTGTATTTAGGGCATATAAATTATGTGATTTCATGTGATGAAAATATATTATTTGTTTTTTTTTTGTTTTTAATCTATGATCAAATTAAATCATTGTTGATAATAACGGTAGATATATATATATGTATATATATTGTTATGCATAAAATGTATGTATATATATTTTTTTTTTTTTGTTACAAAATTATTTTTTTTTTACAAATTCAAATTATACAGCTGTCCCGTTCACTTAACAATAATCATAATTTTAAAAAAATAATTGACTGAAACATTTTAGATATTCGATGGCATATATACACACATACAATTTATAATATAAAATAGTTTTGATAAATAATTTACTTAAATATTATTTAAATATTAATAAATTATTAAATATATTTTTTTTTTTTGTTAATTTGATAATTTTAAAATTTTTTTAACTATATTTGAATAATAAATAAAATTCGAGTATCCCAGCAATGCTAAAAGTAATTTGATATAAAAATTAATTCACATTCCTTGTTAATTTTGTTGTCACTATACAGATAGCGCTTGTTTGTTAAAATCAAAGCAAACAGTTTGGTGGTTAAGAGAAGCTATTACTTTACAAATATTTTGAAAGTACAATTGCATTTTAAAATTACATTTGTACTCAAGTGCTATCACACACATTATTCTTTCATTATTTTAAAAGTAAGCATACAACTTTTTATTTTAACATTTCTCTTGCATTTCAAATTTAATGTCGAATTCGAAAATCCAAAGTTAGAAGAATTTATAGGCGAAGAAACACAGAAAAATTATTCAAAGAGAAATTACGTAAAATAAAAATTTTAATTTTCTATTAAAATTTTAGTTATTCTCCTAAATGACATTAAATCGGGAAGTCTTTATATACATTGTATACATCGCCCAACTATATGTATAACATAATATAATGTACTCAAGTAGCAGGCATAAACTCATTACAGAGTAGAGTAATTGCGTACAATATCATTGATATGTTTTATTCCGCAATTGCAATCGTTATACGAATGCAAGCGACAGTAAGAAGTGAAGACACTAATTTGGTAAGTTAAGAAAAGAATTCAAATATTTTCAGATTTGTAAATAAAATTATGAAAATAATTTGTATAACAATTTTAAGTCTCAGTTGAATTTGTCGAAAGCAAGAATCAGCAATAAATTAATGGCAATAAAATATAAATAAATTAAAGAGTAAATTTAAGATTTATTTTTTTAATTTATACGCACAATTTAAATGGGTAATCAGACAAGACCAAGAATACCTTTAATACAACTCATAAAATATTTATAATAATTGTAAATTAACCGCTTACAACAATACTTATGTATATGGCATATTGAAACAATAACAATAAAACA